CATTTGTCACATGACACACAGATGGAAGCTTTACCCAAAATTTAAAATTTAATTATAGAAATTGAATTATTCATTCTAGCTGTTCAGGAACCAAGTTATCCTGGGGTACAGGCCGGGTCCTGGCTCCCGGAAACCGCGGACAAGAGCCCGCCCCCTTGTTTTCAAGCGCCTCTCAGGGTTTCCGGGCACAGTGAACACCCACGAGGTATTTTAATCAGGGCACCCACTTAGTGGTTGTAAAAACGAGGGGTTCGTCCTTGAGGGGCCAACATGGCTAAGGGTGGAGCCAAGGACACCTTGAGAAGCTCCGTGGAGAAGGGAGAGGGGCCCCTGGGGGCGGCAGGGAGTAGAAAAGCGAGGTGCGGAGAAACGTGGTGGAGACCCCGCCGTGGGCAGGACGGGCGTGTGGGGTGCCGGTGCCACAGGGTCTCGGTCACGTCGGTGGCTGGGTCCCGGGGTCCGACCTCCTGCGGTCAGGGGCCTGGCATCCGCCTTGTCATGTTCTCAGGCGCGGGCTGTGGGGTGACGGGAGGGAGGGACACGAGGAAGGTTGCGCGGACTTTTGGAAAGCTAGACGGATTTCATCGGACATTTTATTTCTCCTTTTCCTTAAAAGTAACTTCTAAGAGTTTCGCCAGTACATGTAGTTGTCTGGAGAACGAGAAAGAGGATACAGATGTAGTTGCATAGGACAGTCTCTTTGTATTTTATTTATGGATTGTTTTTTCATTGATTTTGTGTTTGTTTTTGAGAGAGAGCGAAACCTTGGCTGCCTCTGCCCGCCCCCCTCCAGCGGTTTGAGCTGAAACCTTTTGGTGCCCAGGGCCAGGGCCTGTGTATTTTAAAGCCAATGGAGCCTTATCAGGGGGGCAGCTGTTCCGAGTGGGGAGAGAAGGTGCAGGTTCCATTTCAGAGTGGTCCAGAGTTGACTTTATAGTAGTAAGAAGTGTTAACATACGTAGTGAATATGTACCTACCTTTTCTGTAAAGAGCCAAGTAGTAAATATTTTAAGCGTCTCAGGCCACATACAGTCTCCATTGCCTATTCTTCTTCCTTATTTTTACAACCTTTAAAAATGTAACAACTGGCCGGTGTGTCTCAGTCGCGGAGCTATGACCTAGGAACCGGGAGGTCACGGTATGGTTCCCCGTCAGCCAGGGCGCAGGCCCGGGTTACAGGCTGGATCCCCAATAGGGGGCGTGCAGGAGGCAGCCGATCCATGATTCTCTCTCCTCATTAATGTTTCTCCCTCTCTATCCCTCTCCCTTTGTCTCTAAAAATCAATGAAAATATCTTAGAAAGTATTATTTTGTAAGTGACCATGCTTAGCTAGAGGACAGGAACAGACAGTGGCGGTGGTTTGCTGGTCATGGTGTAGAACAAGCAAATCTTCGGAGATGTATAGAGCAGGTGTGAGGAAGAGCCCAGGATGGTTAGGAATATGGAAGGAGACTGAGAAGTGTGATTGGGAGTCTTGAACATTGCGGTGTTTATTATTACTTTTATTATTATTGTGTCATTGATTTGCACTTATTTTGTTAGCCAAGTTGAGTAATTTTTTTGAATCTTTGAGAGGTTATTGGTGGTGGTCTGTAAAATGTATTGCCAAGTATATTTTGGGACCACCATGAGGCATACCCTTATAAAATCTTGGAGGGGAGACAGGACATCAGGAATACTAAGTAAATTCACTCCTCTGTGACAGTAACAAAAAATACTTGAAATATTATGAGAATCAACTTTTTCAGATCTTTGGAAATTAACCAAAGGTTTACAACACTCTAGAACAGAGGTTCTCAACCTGTGGGTTGCAGCCCCTTTGGCAGTCAAATGACCCTTTCACAGGGGTCGCCTAAGACCATCGGAAAACACATATATAATTACATGTTGTTTTTGTGATTAATCACTATGCTTTAATTATGTTCAATTTGTAACAATGAAATTGGAGGAACTGTATTAAAGGGTCGTGGCATGAGGAGGGTTGAGAACCACTGCTCTAGAACGTGTTTGTTCAAGAAAACCTGCTGAAAGTCTGTAAGAACGGGGATTTGTGGTGGTTTAAGTTGGCCTCCTGCCATCCCTTCTCCCCAGCTCCATGGTCCCTTAAAAATAAACAGGGTGCCAGCCAGCGGAGGGGTCAGTGTGTGGAGCTCCTCAACAAGTCCATCCTCTGGGGTCACCGTGGTGTCATGGTCTGACCTGCCTGGCAACTCCCCGATAAGCCTCCTTCCCACAGCGCTGACCTGGGGACTCCAGGTGAGCCTCCCAGGCCCGGGTCTGGGGAAGGGGCTCTCAGGAGGGCTGCTGAGGAAGCATTTCCTGCCTTTGCCATCTTCTGCTGAGCGCCAGGGCAAGTGGGCTGGAGTGGCTCCTGTGGCCCGATCACTTCTGGAAGGATGGGACTGGTCATGTCGTGTATATGTGACTCTTGTTAAAAGTTGATGTAAAGAAATAGAGAATAACAGTGATAACAAGAGAGAAGGATACTGAAGGAAAAAAAGAGGTCCAAGTCATCAGGAATTTCATCACTCTTTTGCAAATTTTGTGAAGGAGACATGATCTCCCAAGTCTCCCCTTTTGCTCCTCAACTCCCCCCTGCAGAGGTAAGTGCTACTCACAATTTGTTTTATGAGCTTCTGGATTTTTTCCTAACTTATGTAGACAGGCTTAGCCACCTTGCTTGTGTGTTCTCGCTAGACATACAGGGAATGCATTTGAAGTAGTTGGTTTAAGGGTATATTATAATTATAAGAAAGCAACTTGTAATGACTTTTTTATTTCTTTTTATTTTTCCAGGTATCTTTGTGGGAGTTATGCACTGGTAAGATTAGGTTCAGTTTGAAATAAATAAAAGCATTTTATTTAAAAAATTGCCATCACTGTTCATATACAATAAGCCATAACTGTTTGGTTTGTGTATAGAACATCATCTGTATGTGTGTGTATCAGTTGATACATACAGTTTACTTTTTTTACACTTTGTTTATTTTAAATCCTCGTGCAAAGATATTTTCCCATTGATCTTTTAGAGAGAGTGGAAGAGGGAGAGACATCGATGTGTTTGGTTGCCTCATGCACGAGGGCTCGGGCCAGGGAGGAGCCTGCAACCAAGATATGTACCATTGATCTGAATGGAACCTGGCAGGCCAGCGCTCTACCCACTGAGCCAGATCAGTTGGGGCCAGATTACCTTTTTAAAAACCGCATATGTGAAGCAGCATTTACAAAATGGGTACGTTAGGGGAATAGTAACTTATGCCTCACAATACTTGTGCTTTACCAAAGGATTCACTCCTGTATTTCTTAAATATCTAGATTTTCTAATGTACTCTGCATGTTTATTTCATCTAAAAAACTCCCTTACTTTACAGTAACGGAGTGTGCTAACTGACAGAAGCTTAGATGTTAACTTGTAGTAACACCTGTCAATTGAAAATCAGGTAGAAATGAAGATCAAGACTCTCAATGGTAATACAGAGTTAAATGAGATGTCAGTGCACATGTACCTTATTTTGCACAAGTGATGTTTTTGGTAAAAATTATAGTAGTTTTCCTCTTACATATTTCCATTTTTACCTGCGCTTCGGGATTGCTCTTCTTGGGGCAGTGCTGTTCTGGCCGTTTGGTCTGCAGGGAGGCTCTGATGTTAGAACTAGGGCTGTGATGGTAAGAAATATTCCTGGCCGTTATTGGTAGCCTGGCACACGCCCCACATGTTGATGAAGGTGAGTGGAGACAGGATTGGTATGTGGAATTTTGCTTTGTTTTCTGTTCATTGGAAAGAGTCTGCTATGTAAGTGAAGGAAAGCAAAATTGCTCCATTTATTTTCTGTACCTCTTTTGCTCAGCACACATGCCCCATCTCCTCTGCCTGCGGCTGTTGCCTTCAGCTGCTCTGATAAAACATCTTGATGTTCTGAGTTCTTTGACACTTGAAAGCTGATTCCTTCCTTATACGGAATTATCCTTATTTATAATAGCTTTAATGTAAAGTAGTTTTATTTAAAATGACATTCCATAGGCTTTCCAACACTTACAGAGGCATTTCCACAAGCTGGCACATTAGAGGCACTTGTGAAATTAACAAACCCAAACTTAACCTCCTTTCTGGTTGAGGGCCTGGAGTTGAGTTTCAGTGGGTGCTGTACTTAGACTGAATGCCTGAAGACAGACAAGCCAGGAAACAAACTATAAAGTTAAGTCAAAGTTTACTGTACAAATTTATAACTTGTTCTTTTAGGACGTGTCTGAAACATGTTTTTATTATAATATGGTGCTTTTTTTCTTCTTTCTAGGATACATTTATCAATACTTTTTGAAAATGATCGTCATTTTTCTCACCTTTCATCTTTGGAACGGGAAATGACTTTTCGCACTGAAATGGTTAGGTTCTTTTTTTCTAATGAATTAATTTGTAGCTTAATTTATGGACATAATTAGCGGACAGTTATGAGGAACTGAAATGCGTTTTTGGTGAACTGCATTGTTCCTCAAGCTATGACTTAGGGTTATTACTCAAGTAGAAAGTGCTTCAGGATTCTTTTGCTTACCTCACTTTCTCTCTTCCTTTCCTGATGTGGACTTCTCTTTAAGATAATAAAGGTCAATTATAATAGCTGAGGAAGAGAAGAACAAAGACAACACTTAAGAAGTGATATAGGGCATCAAATGTGAGCAGAAAATGCTTGCAGTCGGGTTAGAGTTGGGAGACCCCATGTTTTACTAGTACCTAACTTTTTCTCCCCTCCTCCCCCACATTTTTTTAGCTCTTGACTTCAAGATAATCTCTTTTAAGAGGGAACTTTAAAACCTCTAATATTTTTTTGTTGTTTTGATACATAATCTGTAAAATGTAATACATGGCTTATTACAGTCTTCTGCCATTATCATTTTATTAGCTCTAATGAGGTATAGAAACCTTACCTTTACATCTCTTTACCCTAACCCCTTTATAACATAATCATCTTAAATATTTTCTCTACATCCATTGAAACCTACAGAACTCATGAAAGAATAGCACATTGATAACCTAAAAAGTATGCCTTTTGAGCCTAAGAAGGCAATAGTAGCAAGGAGGAACTAGGAGGCCTTG